GCGGGGGGGGGGGGCCCAGCCATACCCTGTAACAGGCAGGGACTGAAGGATGCTGGGAGAACCTGGCGGTCAGGTCTGCTTTGATATGTTAAATAAACCTCAAACATGTGTGCCAAGGTTTGAGCTTAACACATTGCAAACGTCGTTTCTTCGTACAACACCAATTTAAAAAAAATAAAAAGGCCAGGTGGCGGTGGTGCACGCCTTCAATCCTAGAGGCAGATGGATCTCCGAGTTCGAGGGCAGCCTGGTCTACGAGGGAGTTCCAGGACAAGCCAGAGCTACACAGTAAGACCCTGTCTCGAAAAACCCCAAACAAACAAAAACCCCACCAACTAAAAGAGCAGGTAGCAGCCAGGCGGTGGTAGCGCACACCTTTAGTCCCAGCACTCGGGAGGCAGAGGCAGGCGGATCTCTGTGAGTTCGAGACCAGCCTGGTCTACAGAGTGAGTTCTAGGACAGGCTCCAAAGCCACAGAGGAACCCTGTCTCGAAAAACCCAAAAAGGAAAAATAAAAAAAATAAAAAAATAAAAAAAGAGCAGGTAGCAAGTGATTTTAGGGTGTCCGGAGCAAGGCAGCCAGAGCCGCGCCCCACCCCCTCCAGGAGCGCACAGGAAACCTGAAACCTTCTTTCCCAACATCTTGCCCGCAGCGCGGGGAGGGGCGGGACGTTAAGGCTCAGGGCTCGGAGGAGGCCGTTTGCAGCTGAGACCACCTCTTTAGAAGCGAGGACCGGATGGGGGAACCCGGAGAGCCTTCGCTGCTTCTCGGGGCTGCTCGCCCATTTCCGGCGCAGCGGAAAGCCCTGCGCTGCTTGGGCCTGCAGCCCAGTAGGCGCGGCCGTGGAGCTGCAGGCTCGCCCGGCTCCTGCGGAGGGCCTAAGAACCGATTTTGCCGACTCTGTAGTTTGTCTCCTCTTTAGACAAATTCAAACTAGGTTGGTTTTGAACTTTCCTGCCTCCGTTCCCTAGTGCCGGGATCTTTCAACGTTTTGCGTTTATTTTAGTGTAGGGGGTAGGGTTGCACGCATTCCAGCGCACACATGTTGAAGTCAGAGGACAGCTTGGACGAGCCTGGTCTGGCGTTCCACCTTGTGGGGGTTATGGGATTCGAACTCCAGTCATCTGGCTCGGTGGCAAGCGCTTATCACTGTGTGTACATGCACGGCTATTTTCCGCAGCATCCTAGCTGGGAGCTTTGCAAATGGCAATTTCTGTAAATGGATCCTGGAAATACTAAATAGACTCATGTCTGGTCTTGTCCTGAGCAGACCATGCGGAGGAAACCCCATCGGAAACCCAGCCCCTGCAGACACCTCCGACCACACACCCCTAGGCCCAGGGAGTCAGAAACGGGGTCCCGAAAGTCGGGGAGCTCCTACACGCTAAACCACTAGGCCTCGCGCGACCTCAGCCGCTGGGCGACTACCGTGACGCACCGGCCACTTCCGATTTCACTTTCCTTTTCTCGGGCCCGGCCGCTTCACCTCCACGGCGGCGGCCTGGGGATTTGCCCGGTGATCAGTGACGTCAGGCAGACTGAAGTTCCCATTGGAGGGCGGAGTTCGGCATGGACCAATCCCAGGGCCGGCCCCGGAGAAATCTCGGCGGAGGGCACTGCGCGCCGGGAGACTGCTGGGCGGGGAGGCTTCGCTGCCAGCTTGCTGGCCCGGGCGCTGCACCCTGAGCAGCTTGACGGGGAGGAGTGACCGGGCCCCGAGAGTGGCGCGGGTGAGTGCGGCCTGCCGTGGTA